TGACAAACTTCCTCAAGTGAGTTTTCTGCACAGATCATCAGTAAGTCACAATCCCAGACATTCCCTGCCCACCCAGCCTCACATGTAGTCCCAGCTTGGACTTTCTCCTCTCTTGCTTCCAGCAGGACACCAATTTAGTGGGAGACTCTTAAAACAGCTGTCATCATGTCATTCCCTTAACCAACGACTCTGAAATCTGTCTTCCCCAACCCAAACCTGTTGTACCAAAGGTTTTTTTATATAACTGTTCCCTTCCCCTTCATTTTCTATAGGCCCTATTCTGGTTATCTATTGCTGTATAACAAAGCAGCCCAAAACATAGCAGCTTAAAACAAGAATTTATTAGCATCTCTTGGTTCTGTAGGTTGGCTGGGCTCAACTGGGCAGGTCTCACTTAGAGTCTCTTGTATGACTACAGTAAACTTTTAGTTGGGGCTATGGTCATTTGAAATTTAACATGGCTGGACATCCCAAATGGTGCAGTTACATGGCTGGCAATTAATGCTGACTGCTTGCTGGGGGCTCAGGTGGGGTGGTTGATAAGAACACCTGTAATGGTTTGGGCTTCTCAAAGCGTGGAGCCTGCTTTCTGAGGAGAAGCTTCTACTGCCTGAGCATTTCAAGACTTCTGGGTGAAAACTGTAAAGCTTCTTATGATCACTTCTGCTACAACCTACTGGCCAAATAAGTCAGGAAGTTCAACCCAATTTCAAAAGGAAGGGAAACAGATTCCACATCTCAAAGGAGGAGCAAAGAATTTACCACCATCTTTAATCTACTGTAGTCCACCTTCTGGACACAAATTATTTACATTCCTTCCATGTGCAAAATATATTCACCTCCTCCCAAGGACCCTTAAAGTCTCATCCCAAAACATCACTGGCTCATAATGGATCTTATCATATAAATCGGGTCCAGGTACAGAGTAGGCATGATTCCTCAAGAACAGCTTCTTGAGTACTATTCTTCTTTATCTGAAGACCTGTAAGCTATAGACAGGTTTTCTGCTCTCCAGAAACCAACAGAGTTGACAGGCTTGAGATAACCAAGGCAGACACCTTTTTTTCCCCCCCTTTTTAAACTTATTTATTTATTTGAGGTTGGGGAAGAGCAGAGGGAGACAGGGAGAGAGAGAGTCCCAAGCCAACTTCCTGCTGAGGGGCCCGATCTCACAACCCTGAGAGCACAACCTGAGCTGAAACCAAGAGTCAGATGCTTAACCAACTGCACCACCCAGGTGCCCCCAGAGCAGACACTTCTGTTCAAAAAAGGGAAAAACAGGAGTCACATAGCTACCACTGGGCCATAGCAATTCTGAAATCCAGTTAGGCACACATTGTCAGCTCTTTGATTAGGGTACAATCCTGCTCCCTGGGAATGATTCTCTGTAGCTCTTGATTCTACCCTCTTGGCTCATTGGTTTCTTCTAAGTCATCCTTTCTTTTCCATAAGAAACAGCCCATGTTGGGGCACCTGGGTGGCTCCATTGGTTGTCTATCTTCAGGTCAGGTCATGATCCCAAGCTCCTGGGATTGAGCCCCGAGTCAGGCTCCCTGCTCAGCAGGGAGTCTGCTTCTCCCTCTGCCCCTCCCCCTGCTTGGGCTCTCTCTCAAATAAATAAATAAAATACTTAAAAAAAAATAAATAGCCCATGTTTACATCTGAATAGCCTTCTCAGTCAACTTCTTAGAAGGCAGGGGCTTTGCCTTTTCAGGTGTTCTCTAATCGCTTCTTTATCTTCAAACCTAGCATTTTGTATGGCTGCAGAATGGGGTGGAATTTCCATAATTAATCACCTTTGAGACTATTTCCAATTTCCATTCCCCTAAATACTCTGCACATGGTACTCACTGAGCACCTATTGTGCCCCAGCACTGTTCTAGGGATCAGGGATATAGCAATGAGTGAAATAGACAAAAATGCCTGCCCTTATGGAACTGCCATTCTAGTGGGAGTGACAGGCAATAAAAGTAAACAATATAAAGAAACAAAAAAAATGCCTGGGTGGCTCAGTCAGTTAAGCTTCTGACTCCTGGTTTCAGCTCAGGTCATGATCTCGTGGTTATAGGATCGAGCCCTGCATCCGGCTTCACGCTCAGTGGGGAGTCTGCTTGAAGATTCTCTCCCTCTGCCCTTCCCCTCTCTCTTTCTCTCTCTCTCTCAAATAAATAAATCTTAAAAAAAGAAAAGGCAGGAAGGAAAATAGCAAGTGGTGTTTTGTGACTAAGTGTTGATAGGAAAAGGAACTTTCATTTTAAATAAGAAAGGCCATTCTCACTGAGAAGATGACATTTAAGTCAAGACCTGAGAAAGTGAGGGAGTGGTCATACAGGTATCTGGGGAAAGAACTTTCCAGACAGAAAGAAATGCAACTGTAAAGGCCTGAGTTAAATTTGTGCCTTCTCTTTTCATAAACTGGTATAGTTTGAGCAGACTGATCTGAGGGGATATTAGAATGAGATGAGGTCAGAGAGGTATTTGGGAGTCAAAGCTTTTAGTTTTAGTCTGATTTATGGGAAGAGTTTGAGCAGGAGAATGACGGTTTGACATTCTGATAGAATTACTCTGGCTGCTGTGTTAAGAAATGATAAGGAGAGACGTGGGAGCAGGAAACCAAGATTTTTTTGCACTACTCCAGGGGAGAAATGATGGAGGTTCAGACCAGGTGGTAATGGCAGAGATAGTAAGAGGTAGTCACATTCTGAATATCTTTTGAAGGCTATGGATGAGGGGCACAAGAGAGAGGGGAGTTAAATTCATTTTCCAGGACTGCTATAACACATCACCACAGGCTTAAAACAACAGAAATGTAGTCCCTCATACAACTCAAATAGAAAATTCAAAATCAACCCCCCCCCCTTTTTTAGTCTTTTTAAGCTTCTGGTGTCTGTCAGCATTCTTTGGTTTGTGGCTACTCACTCAAATCTCTGACTCCATCTTCACAGGGACTTCTTTTCTCTGTGTGTTTGTACTCTGTGACTCTGTGCGTATCTTCTAAAGACACTTGTCATTGGATGTAGGACCCACCTGGATAATCCAGGATGCTCTCAAGATCCTTAATTACATTTGCAAATACCCTTTTTCCAAATCAGGTCACATCCACAGGGTCCAGGATGTAGGCTTATCTTTTTGCCGGTCACTATTCAACCCGCTACAGGAGACAAGAATGATTCCAAAGTTTTTTGAAGTGAGCAACTGAAAGAATGAAGTTTTCATGAACCAAGACAGGAAAAGACTATGAGAAGAGCATGTTGTTGAAGATGGAGATAAAGTTCCGAGTTGATCTTAATGTGTTTAGATGGGGCGGGTCTTTGATAGGGTGTCCCACCCTCTTAAGAGCTTTACAGTGTACAACTTTATTGCCTCACCTTTGACAGTAAGCTCAGGGAGTCTTGAGCTGTTGTCACCAGCTGGACTCCAAAGCCTGACCTTTATGCCTACCTGCTTGTTGTACTCATTGACCTTTGTCCCACATTTTTCCTTAGGTTCTTCTTTCTAGCTTATCTTTTAAATCAGGCAAAAGACCTGAGGGGCATAACATTCCCTGATGGAAACCAAAATACCCCTCAATCGGGGCACCTGGGTGGCTCAGTTAGTTAAGCGTCTGCGTTCGGCCCAGGTCATGATCTCAGGGTCCTGGGATAGAGCTGCATCGGGCTGTCTGCTCAGCTGGGAGCCCTGCTTATCCCTCTCCCTCTGCCTGCCACTCTGCCAAGTTGTGTGCACTCTCTCTGTCAAATAAATACAATCTCTAAAAAACAAACAAACAAACAATACTCCTCAAGCAATAACAACTGCCCAGACCACCCAGACCAGTTTGAACTTAACCCCCTACTCACACCTATGCAGATGGACCATGGAGTGGCCCACAGAGTGACCAAGACTTACCTTTACCTCATTGTAACTGTAAAATCTCCACCCAAGGAAGAGCACAAGCCTCATATACATAACATAGAGTGTATGTATAGGCATGTTTCCTTAAGGCACATGCACCTCCTTTTGCTCACCTCTACATAAGATGACAAGGCTCCCTTATCTAAATATTCATCCTAACCCTAAATAAAAGGAATCCATTTGCCTTTGTTCCGTGAGCCACGGATTTGGAAGTTATTCCCAGCGATCTCCTTATTTGCTGCAAATAAAGTTTACTTTGTGAGACAACTCCACCTGGTGCACCTGTGACTCACTAAGGAGCGACCTCGTGTTAGTTGGGTTACACTGGTTTTCCATTTTCTTGGACCAGAAGAAATGTTCTGGTAATGTCTATCACTCTGTTACACAATTGGTACATCTATTTTCAGTCGACTAGATCATGCACATTGACGTCCAACCTCCCTTGGTTCACATCTCACTCTACTACTTACTGTGTGAGCTAGGTCAAACTCACCTGTAGCAGGTCTCTGTTCCCTGTTCCCAAAATGGTGAAAATAATCTTTCCTTAAGTGATTAAAGTAAGGACAAATGGAGATGATCCAAATGTGTAGTACAAGGGCATGGTAGGTGCTCAATAAATATGGGTACCCTTCCTCAACACAATGTAAGTCTGTCAAATAACCACTCTTTTAGCTCCCACTACTCAGAGACCTCTCCCTGAGAAAGCCTGTTCCTAGAGCATGCATGCTTTGTTGATCCTGAAGAGCTCAGAGCACACAGTAGGACTACTTAGTTGACTGATCAGTGCCTTCTGAGAGGGACACTACTGGAAGAGCCAGTTTATTCTCGTCCTCTCTTCCCTGTCATTCCTCACTCCGGGGAGAACGCGGGAGCGGCGGAAGTGGGGGTGATGGCTGAGACAGCGGTTGGCGGATTCAACATGGCGCCGTCCTTCTCATTGTACGAGCCTCAAAGATGGCAACAACCAATTGGGGGCAGACATGTTTGTGCCACGTGATCTAGGCTCAGCCCAGAAGCTGCCGGAACGTGTCGCAAGATTGAGGCGGGGCTCCTCCCCCGCACTCTTGGCGTCGAGAGTCTCGTGACAGGTACTTCCGCTCGGGGCGGCGGCGGTGGCGGAAGTGGGAGCCGAGCCGGAGTCTTGGCCATAAAGCCCGAGGCGGCGGCAGCGGCGGCGTTGAAGGCTTGGGGAGTGCCGAAGAGCCAGCTGGAGCCGGAACTTGAACTTCTCCTCAGTCCCTGTCCTCCCTTGTACTTCCTTCTCGGTGGGAGCCCTAGCGACGCGTCCGGCCCGGAGCCCCCAGCGGAGCGGCCGCGGTAAGCAGCGGGCCCAGCCTGGCCGGTGGCCTGGCCCCATCCCCCTCCTCAGCTCCTCGTTCGCTTGGGCCTCGCGTCGTCCGTACCTTGGGCAGACTCTGGGCCCAGCGCAGGCCTCGCGGGGAAACCCAGCGTCGCTCGGGGCCCAAGAGCAGGCCCGGACCGCACCTGGCCGGGAGATTGGGGGGAGGTCAGAGGTTGCCGGGTGTGAGCTCTGGCCGGGTTGCCGACCTCGGGCGGGCGATCCCGGACGCCGTGCTTCCTGGTAGCATCGAGACCCGGAGTGTCTCCTGATTTGGGTGGCCTCTGGACACTGGGGGCCTGCGCCGCGGCGGGACGCGCTATTGGGCTGAGTGCCTTGGAGCAGCGAGCCGGAGTGTGTCGGAGCCGACCGCGCCCGCTGCCTTGTCTGGGGACGCTGTCCCGGGCGCCGGCGACCGCGCGGGCCTTGCTAACAGGCTCCCACGGCTGAGCCACGTTCCCATCTGTGTCTTCAGTTGAACAGCCTGACCCTGTTAAGTGAGAGAGGTTCCCTGACGGCAATTGAGTCAAGGCAGTGAGTCAGGTCACGTGCATTGGGCTCGCCCCAAGCACTTGTATACACACGAGACGCTTCTGGCTCTGGGAGACGGGGAGCTTTTTGTCCTAAGTATGTTGTGGTAAATCCCGAAGGAAGTTTTCAAACTTGTTGGGGGAAAGTTGGTGGTTGGCTGTAGAGCTGTGTTTGGACTCCACCGCGTCGGGGACCTCTTACTACCTTAAAGCTTGATGCCTAGTGGTTCGTAAAAGTGGAAAATTGAGAATAATAATAGCAAACATTTGAGTGCTGGTTGTGTTCTGGGCAGCGCGGCAAAAACTTTTGCACAGATTTTTATGTTTAATGCTCAGAACAGCCCTCAAGTACCATTATTATCAAAGAACGGAGAGGTTAAGTTGTTTGTCCAAGGCCACACAGCTAGTAAGTTAAGGAGCGAAGATTCAGGCCCAGGCAATCACACTCCAGAGTACTGTACTCAGTCTCTGGGTTTTACTGCTTTCCGATGCTCCTGAAGTTTGTGATCTATCTTTTGCCACCTGGTATCTCCCTCTCTCTGCTTCCTTTGTTTCTAGTGATGCCATTTGAAAGCCTCTTCTGGTTCTACCTTACAGCCACCTTAGTTCTACCCTAAAATCGTAAGATATTCCATTTGTGGTTGTGACATTTAACACAGGTTTTTGTAGTGTAGTGCCAGTATTAGAAGCTCTACAGTTTTAGCAAAGTGCTTAAATGGGGTCTGAAAAATTTTGTTATGTAAATGTTTTGTCAAACGAATTAAGCCTGGCAATCCTGCCATGTGAACCTTAAAACCTTAGTACATGGGTATCTAGCCAGTTGGTTCTTTCCTGTTGAAAATACTCTATCTTCTCTTTGGATTCCAAAAGAACAGACTCTTGTCTCTTCCTTGTGACTTAAGCAGCTGATTAGCCGCATGACTTCTCATCCATGGATTAATAGAGTCTATTAGTGTGTTTCTCTTCAGACTTTGGAGAGTTTGCTCAGATTTGAGTCTTAAGAACTGGAAGGTGAATTGTGAGTACTTCTGAAGATACTGTCCAAGCCAAAGCTTAGTCCTCCCAACCCTGTTGTATTCTAATTTTTTTTTTAACTCTGCTACCTAAAAATATGATGTATTTAAGTGAGTAATAAGTATGGTAGTCTTAAATAATGTTTAAATTTAGAGAGTAATGATGAGCACCTTTTCATTCATTGAGATGTTTTGAGTATTAGGCATTACTGGTTATTGACTCAGGGAGATAGGTGTGGTTATTGCCTACCTAAAGGAATTTAAAAATGATGTGTGATCATGGCCAGGAATTCTGTTGTGGAAATGGCTTGGTGGTAGAACCTGAGGCTTTTGGAAAGAGGAGTTGTTTCTCATCTCTGCAAGTGAATCCATAGTAGGCAGTCTGGTATTCTGGCCAACTTGAAGCCTTTGTTAATCATAACAGCATTTGTATGGTTTGCTCTTGAGAGTATAGAAGATAATGTTACAGTTTCAAATTGATCATGTCTTTGGAAGAGAAGCCTTCAACACTAAACTTGTTTTTCCTTTTGCTCTAGTGGCATTTTGTTGTTCACTTGAGGGAGTTCATGTCATTGCTATTTGATACTGCAAATGTTTGCTGTTGCACTGCTCTTTGAGCAAAGGCACATTTGGCATGCTGGATTTTTTTTTCTTTAGCTGATGAAGAAAGTTTAATATAGTGCCCACCAGTTATAGTTTACTAAATAAAGCCCTATGCCACCCCACCTCCTGCAACCGCTCTGGCTCCCCTTCTTTAAAAGGAAATGTGAGGGGCGCATGGGTGGCTCAGTTGGTTAAGCGACTGCCTTCGGCTCAGGTCATGATCCTGGAGTCCCGGGATCGAGTCCCACATCAGGCTCCCTGCTCAGCAGGGAGTCTGCTTCTCCCTCTGACCCTCTTCCCTCTCGTGCTCTCTATCTCTCATTCTCTCTCTCTCAAATAAATAAATAAAATCTTTAAAAAAAAAAAGGAAATGTGAGTTTTGTGTTTGTGGTAGAACTGCATGAGTAAACAAACAGAAGGGTGGAATGTAGGAGAAAGCACTCTAAAAATAGTTTTGTTAGTATATATCTCCAGGTAATTGTTAGTGATCACTTGGGCATTTGATTGTTTTATTATGTTTTGTTTGTGCCTACCAGGCCTAAGCCCCCAAATCCCATAAAAAGAGCATTGCTTTATAATAAAGTATGGCTTTGAATCTGATTCCTGACCCTACCGCCAAGTGAAGCAAAAAGGTTTTGGTTGTTTGATTAGCTTCTAATAAACCTCCAAAGAGAATTGCGCTATCATTTCTGCCCTTATATTGGTATTAGCCTTTCTGTGCAAAGGTGTAGCAAACCCAGACCACACTCTTGTGATAGTCTAATTATGCACTGCTCCTTTCTGAGATTTGACATAAATATGTACTGTTATTCCTATGATAAAATTGTTTAACTCTGCATCTGTGCAATTCAACAAATAAGGCCAAGGATTTGACTAGATATTAGACTAGGAGTTACCACAGGCAAGGTTTCCTGGGGAAGTAAGGAGGAGGAGTCCTCCTGAGTAAGGCTAAACGGTGGTTTCCCCTTGGTACTGCTGTCATCCTCCGAAGGAGACTGAAGCCCTAGAAATGAGCACCCCCCCCCCCACCAAACGCCTGCGGCTGCTGGCTTTCTGCTGACTCTTATCTCCCATGTAAGGTTGCCATTGTATTCTCTGTCATCCATTCCTGTGTCACCAAACATTTATCTGTTAATGCCATCTAATAGATCTCTGTGCTTCTATGTCTGCAGTTTGCTGCAGACACATTTTACAACGTGTTGATCTCTTCAGTTATTCTAACGTGTTGATTTCTTCAGTTATTTGTTCTCACATCTTCCATTTCTGCCTTTTCCTAAACACAGAAAAATAGTTTGCATTAATGTTTTAAAACTTCTTAATGGTGATCGTGGTCAGTGTGATTTGTGAATCAAAGGTAAAAGTGACGTGTGGTGGATGAAATCAGAACAGGCTTTTTAGCAGTGCCTCTGACTAGTTTCAATTTTAGTACTCAGGCTGTGATTTCAAAAACAAATTTAAGAATAGCTACTTGCAAAATGTCTCTGTGGGGGAGGAAGAAAGCTTGGGAGTTAGTTCCAGTGGTGACATACAGTGTTGGCCTTGCTCATTTGCCTGAGGATGCAGTACTTAATGCAGGGGACCTCAGGCCTCTCCTGGGCTGTCTTGTTTTGGTGACGTCATCACTGCCGTGGAGATCAGTTTTTGTTGTCCATTTCCTGGTCGACTTGGACTGCTTGCGTTGGGGCAGAGCAAATCTGAGGAAGCAATTAAGGGAGGCCTGGGGACCTGGTCAGTGTTAGGAATTCTGTAACTTCACTTGGCTCTCAAATGAACTTGCTTGTGTGACTGCTGCCAGACACGGTGAAGGAGCTTCTCTGTTCTTTCTGGCCCTTCAAGATGGCCTGTGCTAGCTGCTTACTGGCTTTCCTGGAGTTACTTAGCTCAGTTCAGTAATCCTTTAAAAATTACATTGTGATCTAAATAGTTACATCGTTGGTTTCTAATTTTTGCATGCAGTTTTAACTAAAAGTTTATTTCCATTTGATGAACTTTTAATTTGGGTAATTGAGAATGCGTGATAAAGCCAATACGAATTAACGTTTTTATTTTAATTTTATTTATTTTATTTATCTATTTGACACAGAGAGAGCAAGAGAGGGGGCACAAGAAGGGGGAGAGGGAGAAGCAGGCTCCCCGCCGAGCAGGGAGCCCGATGTGGGGCTTGATCCCAGGACCCTGGGATCATGACCTGAGCCGAAGGCAGACGCTTAACGACTGAGGCACCCAGGCGCCCCCGAATTAACCTTTTTAAAAACCCAGTTGTAATAGCACAGACTTTGTAAAAAGTAGTGCCTCTTACATGTAGTATTTAGTCAGTCTACCAACAGTGCTCTATGTACTTACAGATCTGAGGACCCCAGAAATAACTCTGGGTCATCCAGACTGCCCACAGGTTCACAGCCACTCTTAAATCCTGTGACCTTTGCCATTCGGTTGACGGTTGCTAAAGAGTATTAACATTTTGTAGAAAGCTTCTTACATGATATTTGTCTTTAAATGCTTTTTAGTGTTTGTGTAGTGCTTACCATTTACATAGGATTTCATTTGGTCTTCCCAACATCTCTGTATGCTGAGAGGGTAGCCTTTTCTGTTTTTGTGCATGAGATAGTTCTGGGTCCTCAGGTGGTCCAGCTGCCAGAATATTAATCTATGTCTGCTGAAACACATAGGTATTTCGTTTTGTTTTGTTTTTTAGATTTTATTTATTTATTTAAAAGAGAGACATAGGGAGAGAGGGAACACAAGCAGGGGGAGTGGGAGAGGGAGAAGCAGGCTTCCAGGGAGCCTGATGCGGGGCTCGATCCCAGGACCCTGGGATCATGACCTGAGCCG